ATTTGGGTTTAGGTTGGAGAGATCTATATTTTAGGGGTAATTTGAAAATTTTGGCCATCGTGAACGGTGGCCGACGGTAGTTATCGGTGTCGGAGCTCGACGTCCGGCGGTGGTCGAATCACCTCCGATGGGAGGATTATAGAGAGAGGGCCTCTAAAGGCCAAATTTCGGGTATTTATATCCCTTTCCAAACGACGTCGTTTTGGGAAGGGGTATATGCGTACTTTTATTAATGGCTAAATTATGTATGTCATCCTTAAAGTTTTGTAAACTTTTATTTTAGTCACTAAAGCATGTTTTCATGCATTTTAATTTGGTTTTCTAATTTTATTTTATTTATATTTTAGTCATTATCATTATTTACATATATTTAGGATAAATAGCTTATTTAGTCTCTTATATTTTAATAACTTTTATTTTAACCCATATAATTCTTTATGGATAAATTAAATTAATATACCTATATTTTATAATATTTATACTTAGGATTATTAATTCATATATTTTCAATTTAATCTAATATTTTTAATTTGTTCACTGTTTAATTATAGTTTTATTTTATTACCATTTAAATTTCAATATCTTTAATTTAGTACTTTAATTATTACTCTTTATTTTTTTATTAAAATTTTAGTAATGTTAATACATGTATCTTGCTAAAATAATTGATTTCTTCAATGTTAAGAACTAATCATTGAAAGTAAAAATTAATGATTTGTTTATTGATTATGGATGTTAGGTGATGATAATTATATGATATAAATATGTGATTTGGGTAATAAAATGAACGTGGGAACTTTAAGTTATTAAAGCTATGTCAATTCAATTCAACTGCTACTTGACTTTTTCCATTCTTAGTCCCACGCACATGCTTATGTTGATCTCTTTAAATTGTTTTCTCTTGAAATACATACTTTAGTCCTTAATACCTTTTTTACAGTTTGACAAAAATTACTACTTGATTAAGATATCTTTTGCTATTTATCTCAATTGATTTTGTAATTTAATTAAAGGATATATTTATTTATTTTAAATATTAAGAAAGTATTGTCTTAAAGTAACTAGATGTCCTATTATAATATTTTAAAATAATATATATTTTTCCTACTGAAAAATAGAATATGTCTACTTTAATTATATTTATTTTAATTATCAATTATTTTAATATTATGTTTATGAGGAGGAATTATCATATTCTTATTTTTTAAGTCGGAAAGAGAAATTCGTTCTAAAAATATTTTAGGGATTAGTTTCTCTTCGATTAGAAATATTGGAATATTTTTTATTTTTTCTTAGAATTTTCTTTAAAATAAAATTATGCGATTGAATCTAGAATAAGGATCATAAATTAAATTTATATTATCAAAGACAATTTATAATCAACGGGTACCAATTTTGGGCGTTGTGGGGTGCTAATCCTTCCCCAAGCGTAACCTACCATGAATCCCTTTTTATTACTAAAAAGAATGAATTTTTTGTTATACACATACCGGTTTATCTTTTAAATAGTGTTTTCTTAAAAACTATTTTAAAATATGATTTTTAGGTATTTGACCTACTTAACTCAAAAGGTTCGATGGCGACTCCAAAACATTTCATTAAAACCATTTATTTATTCACATTTCATTAAAACCATTTATTTATTCACATTTCTTTTCCGTCAAGAAATATTCGTGCCTGAGCAAAAACCGGTTACGACAATCTGTATTACCTAGTTCTTATTCTATTTTCCCTTTTCCTTGGTATTTCTTGTCCAGAATTCTGAGAAAGACAATGCAAAATTGAGCACTGAGCATAAAAGGTAATTCCTATTTCTTGCAATTGAAGAATATGTATGTTTCTTTTGTACGGACAGTTCAAATGATTATTTCATTCTTCTGACAGTATAAAAGGAGTGACTAAGAAAGTAATTGAAGCTCGACCTTCTTCATCGAAGAAGATTGAACCTGTTGCTTGCCAGACACCAAATAGGTCTGTAGCAACATTGTAGGCACTGCTTTATGTCATCACAAATTTGAGTTTCAACCTTGACATGGCCTATTCTTTTTATAGGCTTAAGCAGACTGTCAATTCAACCAAGGCAGATGTAAAGTCGACTGCTGGGTCATTCCATTTCAAAAGTGGTGAACGAGCTGAAAGCATAAAAGAGGTTAGCAAGCATGTTGTCATTCTCAAACTTTTTATTTTAATTCTTTAGTTTATGGAAAAACATTAATGTCATTATTCTTTTTGCCATAAAACGTTTCAGTTTTTTCATGAAATTGGAAGAGAAAATACATGCCAAAGAGGCTGAGATGAATTAGATTCAAGCAAAAACACAGGTAAGGGAAGCATGCAATATCGATCGTTTACTATTTGAAATGAAGGACCGTGAACATTTCTGGTTTGAATGCTTTGCTTTTCCATTGTTTATATCTATGGTTATTGACTCTGGGTTGCTAACTTCATAAATAAATTGAATGCTTTGGTCTCATTACAGGAGAAGACGGAGGCTGAAATTAAGCAGTTGCGGAAAAGCCTTAATTTCAAAGCAAAACCCATGCCCTCTTTCTATCATGTTGCCACAGCACCAGGGTCTAATGTAAACAAGGTATATTGATTAGAAGCTAAGCTATTGCTTTGATTTTGTGATGTAGCTCATGCATGTCTTCTGTGTGATTAGTTCAAGGAAGCATGCCCTCATGAGTGTATATCTAACTTGGAGGTTCTTACATTGGCCCGTATGTAATCTTAGTCTAGCATAATAGCTTTAGTGACTCACCAACTCTTCTTCATTTCTTTTTTTTTCCCCTTCAAAAAGCATAAAATATTTTGCCATTGCACGTGGAACAATTTATGTAATCATGTGAAGCAATAGTAGTAAAAGATAGTATTTATATTTTGTTCTTTGCACAATTGATATAGGGTCTTGGATCTTTGTTGGTTTGTCAAACTTTTTCCTTCATGTTTCTACTGGATATTTTCATGTTAGTTTTAGTAGAATTCCTTACTCTGACGAAAATAAGATACGAGAGAAATTGAAATGAGTTACACTATCCAAATGAAGCAGTCAAAGAAGGGAACACGAGATAGTTAATGACTTGAGAAGCACAAGGTTGATGTCGGTGTTTGCTTGTAACTGTGGACTATGTATAATTCTTATAGTGGTTGATGACGGAAAATGTGTTGTACATAATTGTAGGTCAGCTGCATAGAAAAAGCATAATTTGCCTTAGCTCTAATAGGAAGTTGAACTTGAATACCTTATTATGGACCTGTTTCTATTTCCTACTTTTTCAAGTGATTTATTGTTCAATGAGCATCCAAATAGCTTATTTCATATTTTTGTACCATTTGTCAATAGATTTAACACTGCCTTTATTCTTTTTTTTTTCTCAGGCTGCATCATCTACCAAGAGACCAGCTAAAGAAAGACCGAAATCTACAAATCCAGGAGTGGGGTCAACCGGAATATAACCATCACTCTCCAGGGAAGCAAATAAAGAGCTCCTTTCTGCTCGTGGGTTTGAAGGTGAATCAAACTTTCATACAGTTGAGTCATCATCTCAATCTGGCATCATATCCTCGACTCCATCAACTGCTGGTCGTGGCTTCCCAGAATCTGTCACACAAAACATTATCCTTTTCAAAACAAAAGATAGGGAAAGCGGGAAGTAATTTGCCAAAACATCATATGCCAAGAATGGTAGGGTTGTAAAAGATCATAAGAATGGTGGCATGCCAAAAGTTGGAGCCCAAAGAAATAGCCGAGAGGTTAAGAGGAAAAATAACATGAGAAATGCTGGAACTGCCAATGCCAGTGGTTCTGGCATGGGTCGTTTTACAGTTGTGGCTTCCTGAAATGATCAGCCATGGTGTCATCTTCGCCCATTTTTCTTTCCCATTTAGCCTGCGCAGCCGACACATGTATCTTCAAAATATCTAATCATGTGTTAGTCTTCAATGCAGTATGCACATCGAATTTATACCGTACCAGGTTTACATTGAAAACCAAATTCCTTGCGATGGAGAAAGCGAAATGGCAAGGCCGGTAATAGATTGTTGATAGTCGTGTTTCAGGATTACTTAAAACAACTTAAATTATGGGGCCTATTATGCAACCTTTAGCGGGAATTCTAGTCAGCTAATAATGGTGGCTCTGTCGTTGTTTGTATCTCTTAACTACCACCCCAGCCAACATATTCTCGCGAGAAAGACGAGATTTGAGGCAAGTGGCTTCCTCTTTTATCAGGTTAGAAACTACTTAAAATGGCAACGAATAGCATTTGAAGATGAGAACATTGGTTAAAAAAGCAAGATGAAAGCAGATAAATAGAGAACCCAGAAGTGTTCATTTTGTATTGAGCGACTTCAATAACAGATAGAACTGTTGTTTTTCCTAAAGTTTCATGTTAAGTAACTACATTTATAGACTCTGATATCAATAATTAAGAAAAATTATGAACACATTATATCTTATAATCACTTGAATTTATATATAAAAAATTATAAAATTAACCATAGAGGTTTGAAATAATTGATTCATTAACATCCTTTTTGTCTCGAAATTGCCCACATGAAGAGAAATTTAGTGATAAAAAAGAGCAAAATCAGGTCAAGATGAACAATTTTAATTCAAGAATACTTGGAACGAGGAGATTTTCCATATCGTTTAAACTTCATCATCATCCATTGTGAAATCTAGACAAAATAGAGATGCAATCAAGCGGGTAAGCAGAATTGTAATGAAACAATTAAAATAAAAAAATGGAAATTAAAAGAGGAATTAATATTAACCATACTTAAATTTATCTCATCCATTGCCAAACAAAAGAGTAAAGAACGATAAGTACATGGGCCACCTCCTCTTTGGCTCTGTCTCTCACTTCTTCACCATTTCTGTACTTTTTCTTTCTGCAAGTAAAAAAACACATACCACACTCCCCTTTCTTTTTTAATTAATCTTATTAAACATGGCTTAATCATTTAAATTCTTTCACAAAAAGAAAAAAATCTTGTTCTTTAACTAGCTAGTAATTCCCTAGACTAGAAATAACTAGAATAATAAATACGAGAAGACTTGTGGTAGCTGTGATGTTGAAGATTGATTTTCCATGCGTAACTGTTGTTCCCGATGACTGATCATCCGTCTGGTGCGGAGGTTTTCTATAGTAGTACGGGAAATACGGCCAGATAGGGTCAGGAGGAGGCGGACCGTATAAAGAATTACCACCATCAGGTGGTGGTTGTGTGTAGTATGGTAGGTTCCCTGTAGGTGGAGGGTATACTCCCGTTTGTGAAGGTGGTGAATAACTAGCTGGAGGCGTTTGAGTGACTGCGCCACCGCCTCCTCTGGTGCCTGTTGGTGGTGGGTAACTTGGATAAGGACATGGGTTATCTTGCTTGGTCTGAATAAAGAAGAAGAAGAGGAAGAAGAAGAAAGCTTTGTTAAGCACTGTGTTGGCCATGTTACAGAAACGAAAAATAGAGGGATAGGAAGAGAAGTAGGCGGGAGAGGAGTGATACAAGTGGGATGAATGCAATTAAACTCCCCTTGTTGAAGGGTTTATTTTCAAGCTATTTAGGTCAAGTCTCAAAGTTGGATATAAAGAGGCAAATAAAGGATGGAAAGTAAGGCCTAGCCTACGTACTGTTTTTTTTAGTATCATCGATTACAAATTGTTTAATACAATCAGGTTCATCCAAGAAAAATCAGATCAGATTGTAGTTCGATAAGGCTCATTGAACCAACGTGTGAGCCACTCTATTCGCTTCCCTACATACATTATGAACTTTGAGGGAGGGAGAGTCAACAAGAAGTGATCGTGCCTCATTGAGCAACAATCATGTTGTAGAAATGTCTTGAGTCTTGTTCATGAATTGATTAGATAACATGTACACCACCAAGATAGCATCACCTTCAATAGTCACATTGCTCCATCCGTTCTCAGTGGCTAGTCTAATTCCTTAAGTGAACGCAGTTGTTTCTGTGGATTCAGTCGTATTTGGAGGGTCAATCAACATAGCCATTCCTCTAAGGACCATACCATTCGAATCACGGGCCACTACTCCTACAGGGGCCTTTTGAAACTCTTTACAAAACGCTTCGTCCACATTGATCTTGATCGTTCCCTGAACCGGCTTACACCACCTTCAAAGTTTGCGGGGAGGAGTCTCTCGGCTAGAGCAACCGAACGGTTTGGAAACCTGTTTAAACTCTCCAAGAGATTCCAAGCTTTTAAAATGACATCTCTGTCTGATTGCAGCTCAGCATCATGGATCCATTTATTCATAAGGTTCCAAACATTCCACAACAACGTGGGGAACAAATCAAATCCTTCTCAGTTTAACTTGGGATGCACAAATTTTATCCATTCGAGGCAGGAGGTCCCTTCCCAATTAACAATATCTTGAGGCAATCCCGACAAGCATAGGATAGATTTCGATTTTGGGCAGTCCTTTGTGCTAAATTAGGATGGAAAACAAGGTCACATTTTTGGACCCCATGGCACTTTGAAACTTGGCAACGAAGACTTCATTATGATCAATGAGTTGTTTTCAAGAAAGGGTTGTTGAAGGCTGCATATGGAGAGAGGGAATTTTCTGGTCCTAGAGTATAATTCATCATAAAAAAATCTAAAACAGGGGTCTCTGTTTTAAACACGTCTAAAAAAATAAAAGTAGAATGTGCCTCTGAATATTCTAATGTATTTATTCATTCGAGTATTGGAATTCGGTGAAATTAACATATTTTAAGTCATCCTATTCCGAATATTCAAAACCAAACTGTTCTTTTTGAAGAGCTCAATAAAGTTCTGCTTTTGATGGCATCATCAAACTAATAGAGCAGAGGTTCAGCGGATAATATTTGAAAACTATGCTCTGTTTTCAGGAGTCAATTTCCCTAAAACAATGCTGGAAGTGCATTAATCAACATCTTACATCTAGGATCGTGAATTATTCAAGCTTGATTCGATCAAAATTTGGTTAATATTTGAATTAACTGAATTCGATTTGAGCTCAAACTTAATTCGACTTCTTAACTAACCGAAGCAAGCTAATTAATATCAATTTGAAAAAGCTCGCGAGTAACTTAAAAAAATTAAATTTTTTAAATTAAACTATTAATAATATTAACATTTATATGTAATTTCTAAAAATTACAATATATAAGGTTTTCATATACTTAAGGTTCAAGTTCGAGTTCAAGCTTCAGTCGAGCTAAGCCTGAGAATGTTCCGAGTTCAAGTTTTTTCGAGCTCAAATCGAGCTTTAATTTTTTATTTCAACCTCGAGTCTATGTTAATAATTTTAAGCCCGCAAGCTTTCAAATCAAATTAAGTTCAAATTTAAATTTTTAAATTCGATTCAAGCTCAACAATATTTTAACGCGACTCATTTGATATGTAGGATGCATCTCTCTGCATTCCTTCAATCAAAGAAATTTCACCTAGATATTCCTAACCCCTTATTTTAGTTAATTTTGTCATAGTTTTATATGAATACTATAATATGTTCATTGCGCTCTGTGAAATCAAATTAAATTTGTGTATAATATTTATACTAATATATGGTTAGTGTCTTCTTAAAAAAAAGATTTTATAGCAAAATTGAATTATTAAATAAATATATACAACTTATAAAACATCCATATTTATAAATAACAACACATAAATAAATACGTCACAATTTATGTGAAACATATTATTTACATGTAATAACAAGTAAGATATAAACAATAAAATAAACATGATATGAATACATGACATATAAAATGAATGGTAACACGCCAAAGCAACACTAAAAATGTGATGAATTGAGATATACATAATCAGAAATAAATTAAAGCGCAAATATATTTGTAATTACTAAATTACTTTTTTATTTTAATCAATAAATTATATTTAGTAAAAAGTATTATTAAAGTAAAAATTATATTATTTTTTATAAAAAAAAATATTTTGATGATTAAAATAAAGAAAAAGAACAATTTGATATTGATATGGCTTATTCATAATTAAAACATACAATATGATATAAATATATTAACATATCATATATATGATACAATGATTTAATTAACCTAAAGTCAGTTAGTCTAGTAGGATAAGACACTAGATTCTTTAAGTAAGGTTAGGGGTTTGAATCATGAAATTTGAGAATGGAGCAAATTTAGTTAGAATGGTTGCTTTTGTCTCTCCAATACTCGATCTAGATTAGTTCTGGTCAATAGATTGAATATCAGTGATTAATTAAAAAAATTAACCCAAGAATTTTTTTTAATTAATTATCCTTGAAATGACAAATTTACCTATCCAATTTTATTTAATAAACGGCCTTTTTGATAGAAAGTTAAATATTTAATTTTCACGTATTATTTTTACTATAATATTTGAAATTTTTTAATTTTATTATATTTAAATATAATTATGAATTAAAATTTTAGCGTAATCTTTAAGCACGACAAAACTTATTGTAAAGATGGATGCAGAATAGGTGGTTGCTGTTCTGAACGGTGAACTAACGAAGGAATACACAAGCAACGTGTTAGTGAGTGACTGTAAGGAACTTCTAAGAAAAGGATGGATGTATGAGATTAGGGGTACTTCTGCTGTACGTAACATTAATTAAGGAAAGATATTATTAAAAATATTATTTTTTTTAATATTTTCAGAAAAACGTCACCTAAAATATTTTCTTTTTAACAAAAATGTTATTTTTGCTAATTAATTTTTGGTAGAATTTAATATTAATATTTTCGGTAAAAAAATAATATTTTAAGTAACACTTTAACGGATATATTAAACATTTTAAGTAATACCCAATAATAATATTTTTAATAAAAAAAATAAAATTTTAGATAACATTTTATCAAAATTATTAAATAAATAATAATATTTCTAATAATATATTTCTTTAACCGTACATTAAAATAACTTTACATGAGATATTCCTATGACATTAAACATACTTAACGTGAAGGAAATAAGTACACCAATTTTTTTTTTTTAAATTAAACCAAACGACGTCGTTTATTAAACGAGTCAAGTTGAACTCGAGTATTGTTGAGCTCGACTCGAACTTGAAAACTTTAAAAGTAAACTCAACTCGACTCAAACTCACGAGCTAATAATTATCAAGTTCAACTCGAACTCAAAATATAATATTGAAACTTAAACTCAAAAAGGCTTGAACTCAAAACAAATTTAGAAGCTCGATTGAAGCCTAAAATTTGAGCTTGATTGAAGTGAAAGAATAATTCACTCAATGCTCACCAAAAGACTCCATGATTTTGAATGTCAAATTACTTCTATTATTTATAGAAGTAAGTTGAGATGCTCTTCTATGTTTCTTAATCATGTGGGATTGTTTTGTTCTCATATTTTTACTCTTTAGACTTTTGAGATGCTCTTCTATGTTTCTTAGTCATGTATGATTGTTTTAAAAAAAAAATAAACCAAACAATATCATTTTGTTATGATTTTTTTAGCCTCAAATTTATTTTTTTAATTATAGTTATATAATTATATTTATTATTTAATATGTTTTACCTTAATTATTATGTTGTAGTTAATTTGAATCATTTTGTTTCACTTGATTTTATCATTTTTAACTTATATATGTTATGACTTGTGATATAAAAAATTATTTTTTATTAAATATTTTTGATATTTTTATTTAATTTTTTAAATAATTATGACGTTGTCCGATTCTTCCGATCGATCGAATCAATTCGATCGATTGAACCAATAAACTGATAGCATGACCCGTTCTAAAAACCATGCATTTTTTCGATCGTTAATCCCCTCGATATGGGTTAACGCCAGATGAGATGACGTGCTAAGATTGTAGACTACTGTTACTCTATTGTATACCAAAATAATAATAATAATTTAAAAAACTTAAAATTATAAACAATTAAACATTATAGTTTATACTTAAAAGAAAAACCTCAATCTTGTTAAAGACAAAGAGACATTAAATTGGGGACAATTAAACAATGCTGTTAGGTGCACTTCAAGCACTTGTTTTTTGACCTGTGGTGCGGAAACCGACTACATTATTGGTTCCAACTAAAAAAATAAAGTAATAAAAATATCATTGCTATTTATTACTTTTTCATAGCATGATTTTTTTTAAATAATTTATAGTACCAACCAAGTAATCTTAACGGTTCTTAACGGTTGAAGAATTTTTATTATCTCTTAAAATTTCGGATTCGAATATTACATATATAGAAATATGAGTGTTCAATTTCAAATGATTAAAATTATTTGAACAAATACTACTATTCACCTCATTCTAATAAAAATACCATTTCATAACATGATAATAAATACAATCCTTATTTTAAGTATTACAACGTGGATACTTTCATTTTTATCTTTTGTAATTACTAATAATTAAATTCTAAATAATGATTATATATAATTTTTTAATTATTTAGAGTAATTATAAGGTAAATATATTCATAATTTTTTTAATATTGAAATGTATATACTTTAGATACGTAGTTGTTCAAATCTAGTATCTCAAAGGAGAACAAACTCCCTTTAATCATTGAGGTTATTTAATGAATTTGATTGTATATAAATTTATTAGACGAAAAACAATATTCTTCTTCATAATATTATTTTTATTAAAAAATATTATATTTTCTAAATAAATGTCAAGATTTGAATTTACAAAAAAAATGAAATAATATATAAAAAATTTCATCACTTGATCAATTAATGAATCTCCTCTTATAACATTATTTATCCTTCTTTAATTTTTCTCAAATTCTTATTATTAAGTATATAGTTTTATAACATGTTATTGGGATTTTGTCCAATGCCATTATGGGAAAAATGGCTGAGATATTATTGTAGGAAAAAATCTTCAATATAGGCCACATCTAAAATTATTTTTCCATCTAGGGTAAAATCTACAGTAACAACACAAAGACTTCATGATTGCTTGACGTCTTTAGGTTAAACTTAAAGACTCAAGGAGTGTATAACGTCTTCAGGTTGGAAAGAGACAACCTACTTGTTTCTGCATGGCCTAAAGACGCCGTGTACTTCTGAAATCTTTACGTTTGACCTAAAGACGTCATACAATCATAGAATCTTTATATTGTTACGGTAGATTTCACTCTAGATAAAAAAAATAATCTCTAATATACCTTATCGGAATTTTTTTCCTACAACAATACTTTGGCAATTTGGCCATTATTATGGTTATTGAAACCGAAGAAAAGATGAATAAGATGAGTTGGTAATGAAGTCGAAGTTGATCTCTGACACATCAGATCGTATACTTTAAAATCTTCTCTTTTGTTTTTCACTTTTCACATCATTAATTTTATAACCCTCCCTCGTCTTTATGGATAACTCTCATCAACCTTTATTATATGATTTGGAAGCGACTGTCCAAGGCGGAGACGCCTCCTCTTGTCCTGCCTCCGCCTCTGCTCCAAAATGCCCTCATTATTAACAACTTTATCACAATTTAAATTCTATCAAGATTAACATGAATAAGAATAAACCTTGAAAGTCTTCCTGGATTATTATACACTCATTTTCCAGTTTCAAATCTACAACTAAATAATAAACCAAGTGAGAATCTGGCCAAAATAATGAGTACAAATATTCTTAATTGTTTACATCAATATTAGGATACATCAAATACAATAATTAGTAGGTCCTAAAGCTTTATCCTTGAGCAAAGTAGAATTGTACTTGCTAATCCAGTTTCATGCACAATGATCATTAGGACGCTCCGATGACCGGTCCCAATTCAAAAGGCAAGAAAGACCAAGAATCCAGAGACCAAAGCCAATAACCCCACTTCAAATTTCCGGTTTGCAGCACCATACGTTTGGTCGATAGGGTAAAGGTTCCCTGGTGGACTAGTCATGTAAATAAAGGATGGTGGACTAGGTGGTGGCGGACAGTATTGGGTCGGAGGATTTTTTGGTGTAGTTGGCGGCAGCACGGGCGGTAATGGTGGCGGTGGTGGAGGAGGACTTCGTACAGTACACGATGGGGTACATTTGATGCCTTGATCTCCTGGTACAGTGCCCTCATCAAGCTTCCTTGACTCCAAGCCGTGGATTGGGTATGCAACAGTGGCGATCACAAAGAATATGGTTAAAGTCACAATCGGAGGATCAAACTGATTGGTTTTGATTGACATGGCGGCGATTCGGATTGCTCTCCGACGAGGGAATATGAAGAAGTAGCGGGTGATGTTATGTTAATAGGCACATGAAAGGCTTTGAAAAGCATAGAAGTGAATGAAACGCCCTCTTAAGGGCTATTTTATTAGTTGATTAATTAAATTTTGTAGTAGTAAGCGAATCCCATTGCATGTGAGAATTATGGGGATGGACCAAAATTAAAGGGAGTCCCCATCATATACGCTTTCCACCATAATTCATTAATTGTAAGACAAATATGGTCTCCTTTATTCAATTTCTAATCAATGTATTTCATAAAATAACTATTGTTTCATAAAATCAATTCTACATTGGAAGGCCCCATGTTGGACCGCACATGCTTACTGCGTTGCAAAGAAACGTCCCATCATAATTTAAGTTTGATGAATAAATGCATACGCTATACATTAAAAATTTATATACGTAGGGGACTACTAATTATAAATCTTTATATTTAATTTACATTCCTATTTAATTTATATTTATGATTATAAATATTTGTTTTAACTTTAAATATTTTTCAATAAAAATAATCGCTTTCTATTTACACTAAAAAAATGACCTAGTGAGTGCATAATCAATATGCAAAAATACTAATAAATTTCCATGGAAGCCCTAAGAATATTACAAAACAACAGACGGTTGTTACTGTGCCCGGGAGATTAGACTGGAAAAGAGGGAGGAGGAGGAGGAGGAGTGGTCACAGCTCAGACAACCATTAACTATGTCATGTGTGATTTATCTATCAATCTCATCAATCAGCACTTATTTCTTCCAATTTTCTCAAATATTCTTTACACCTCAACCTAGCTATTCCTTCCAAATTTCTCAAATATTCTATCAACTTTCCAGAATTTGAAAGTTTTGCATTCTTATGTACTTAAATTAATGTCCGTCCTAATGCTATAATTTAGTAAAATAGAAATTGAAGATTAATGGGGTAGAGATTATTAGTTGTTAGTGAAAAGGCCACTGTCTCATGTTCTTGTTTCCACCCTTTTTCTATGATTTGATTATCAATTTCAAATTTTCTTAAAATATAATAAGATTATAAATACAACTATTCAGATTCTTAAAAAGAACAACATTGAGAGGACTGTTATAGACCCCAAAAAAATATTGAAGAAATACATAGATGAGTGGACTGTTATAGACCCAAAAAAAAGTATAAATATTGAAGAAATACATAACTGAATGGACTGTTATAGACCCCAAAAAAAGTACAAATATTGAAGAAATACATAACTGAATGGACCCAAAAAGTAAATTAAGGGCTGTTTTATTCAAAAACGAGATTAACATGGCCCGTATTTGAAACTAGTAAAATCTAGATACATAACTACAGCTTGCTCAAGGATAGTCCTGAAAATGAACTGAACGTTCAGCGAATCGTTTATGAACCGTGCGGCTGGAAGTTTGTTTATGTGCGTTTATTTATTAAATGAACGAACATGAACAAGATTTTGTGTTCGTTTAATTAAATGAACGAACACGAACATAGGTCTCGTTGTTATTTACGTTCGTGAACGTCGGTTATATTCGTTTATGTTCGTTTATGTTCATTCATTTATGTTTAACTCAATCTTCTTAAATTAATTTTGATGACCAATTTGTAAGTATCTTAAAAATATTAATTAATCTAATATTCTGATGACCAACTCCATAATTAACCCAATCTTATTTGAAGATTAAATCTAATATGTTAACCCCTGAGACACCTCGCATCTATATTCATTTTTACCCTTTTTTCTCAAACCCTAGTGTTCACTAGAGAGTGGAGACGATCGGTGAAAACTTCAAAACAAGTATTATAGTACAATATGAAGTTTTACAGGTCTTTTTTCATCTCTTTCTTTGTTTTATTGACTTAATAGTTGATATGTAAAGTTATTGTGAGTATCTTCACATCTAAAACTCAAAAAAAACATCATACTTCTTTCTAGAAATAAATGAGAAGATAAAGGTAACAATCGGGAGTATATGAGCATCAGTAACGAAAAATTATATAGAATTTGTCAGAAAACAAAACAAAGATTTCTATGCAATTTCTGAAAAATAGTGTAATAGTAGAAGTAATGGGTTTTTCAGGAATAACCCATTAATAAGTAGAAAATACACTTTGATAATGACTTTTGTTTTCATAGTTTTTGTGTGACCTTTAGTTATGGAGTAGACTTTAGGTACGTTAAAATTTTGAATGATAATTTAACAATAATATCAGTTAGATAGTAGCATCGAATGGATTTCAGATCTATTTTATTTCTTGTAGTCCAATTTGTATCATTCGAAATCTTTATGTTGTTAAATTTTACTCTGCCAATGGAAATGATCATTATTAACAAATCTCACTAAAATCTGACATTGATATCATAAAACTTTTAGCCGACAAATTTATTAGAATAACATAGTGAAAAATAATTATTCATATGTAATTATGGACCACTAACATAAATGTTATAGTGTTAAATTAAAATCGATGAGTCATTTAAATTTTAAAAGATCAATCGAAATATTTAATATCTTCAATATTTCATCACTGCTAATCAACTCTACACTATTTATCACTGTAGACTTGGTTAATTTGTATTGCGACTATTTTTCATTAAAAAAATAAAAGATAGAGTCTTCAACATTTATATTCATTTATGTTCGTGTTCATTTATGTTCATGTTCGTTATATTCATTTATGTTCGTGTTCATTTATGTTCGTGTTCGTTTATATTCGTGTTCGTTTATTCGTATTCGTTTATGTTCGTTTATTTATTAATGAACGAACATGAACAACATATATTCCTTAATGAACGAACATGAACAAAAAATTTTATTCGTTTATATTTGTTTATTTATTAAATGAACGAACATGAACATTCTTCCTTCGTATGCGTTCGATTCATTTACATGCTACTAAAGGAGTTGTGATTTTAAAATCACAAAGCACTCTCATCTAGCCGGATCATAAAAGCACCGGCCTGTTGCCAAAACTGATGTCCCAACCCCCAAACCAAAACATGCAGAATTTTATCATCCCCATTCATTCCATAGGAGGCTTGTTTTCCCAGAGATTTTGGCAGCTCAAAGGATTCAGCTTCATCCATTGGGTTCAACAACTTCGGGCCTCATACATATTGAACCCTCTCCCACTCGGATCCATTTCGTCCTCTTCGAGCTATCGTGTTCTTCAATCGATCCACAAACCATGGTGCTGATTGAAATTCTTGTGCATTTCCCACAGCATCTTCTGCAACTCTTCCAGGCTGCAAACTTTCTCCTGTAAACCACAAACAATACAAAACAAACTTCCTCGTTTGGGCCATGAGAGAGAGCAACTCAGTCATGAAATCAGACAAGCTGACGCTAGACAGAATAGAGATTATCCTGTAGGCTAGCTCCGACAGACGATTCACAAGAGAAAATTCACCCAAAAACCAGAGAAAAAAGTCTCTAGGGTTTAATAAATATTATAAAATCAAAAACTGTGCAAAAGCAGTCCACAAGCCGGACTGTTATAGCAAAAAAATCGTCTTTATTCGAATTTTGCCAAAAATAACAAAATCCTGAAAATCACTCTAAATTAAAATTCGAAATAAAATAAGCAATCTCCCAAAAATCCGGCCTAAATCGGATTTAAATTGACTTCCTAATTAACAATCGAAATATTACCATAAATAGTAAAAAATAACTAAATCTAATGATTCGGAGGGGAAAACGACAGAATTTGAGGTTGAAAAAAAAGCCACATGGAGCGTAGCTCAATGTGGAGAGCGTACGCGTCGAAAAGAACTTTCCGGATTGGAATCTTATGCGCGATTCTGATACCTGTAGCCAAATTATGACCAAAAGACTGAAACATACTCAAAACGACCCCAATGAGGAACATGTCACAATCAATTCCCGCCTTTGCGTTGATCTGCCAACTCATGGTATCTCAGCGCCATCAACGTGCAATCTGACAGCTCAGCATCATCTGTCTCAGATCCCCTGCATCACAAGCCCTGCACACGATATAAACGTTTCATTCAATTTTGTTGGAAAAATTATTGAAAGGGTAAACGGGTTTGATTCAAACAAGAATAAATACCCACCTCATCGTCTTCATCATCGGGATCATATAATCCAGCTTCGTACAGAGTTCTCTTCCTCTGGTCTGATAAACTACACAAACACAACAAACAACAGGAATTAAAACAAACCGACAAGGCAAACATATTCATTAAACTCGGACAAGACAACATACGTACCAGAATAAGCTTCTTGAATCTGCTGGAATTTATGCTTTGCTTCACTCAATAGAAGGTGTTCTCGTCCACTTATCCGGATGCCATTCCTGATTCCCATATTCATAAATCAAACAAAACGCAAGTCCCCAAAGAACCAAAAACAAAACGCATCTTTAGCCGTTCAAAGCAGAGGAATGGAGAGCTTACCATTGCAAGCTTTCGATATGCACGCTTGATATCTTGAATAGAAGCATCGACCTTGACTCCCATAATATTATAGTACGATGGTAAACCACGTTCAGCCTCCTTCATCGCCGACCCAAATAAAAACAAGGATCAAATATTTGAGAATGACTGCTGAAAACCGGAAACCCCAGAAGCTTGTGATTGTTGTACTAATGGTGTCGAAGCCGGAGCATGGTTCGATTGAGAAGGAAGAGGCGAGCAATATATAAAGATCGGGAATAAGTGAGTTGTTTCATGTGGGAATCCTGTGGATATGCATGCGTCTTGAAGATATTTTGTTTTCAAGATTGCAGATATTTCTCAATAGCTACATCCCAAAGCTTGCTTTTCTCCATTCGTGACGTGACAGTTTTAAGCAACACTTGTAATGAAGACAAGTGGGAAGTTATTACTATTCTGGATTTTTTAACTGATAATTGGATTAAATTGAATGTAGGGTCTGAAATTTGAATTATTATTATTTAAATATCTCATTTTTATCTTTCAAACAAATTGTGTCAAAATAAATATTTATAAAAGAGTATTTTAATAAATTGTAATAATTTATAGATTGAGTAGTGAGAAATTTATATATAAACATATTAGTCTTGAATTTAATTTTCACCTATTAATTTTAAGTATCTTATTTAAAAATTAATAAAATATAAGGAATATTCATAAACAAATTTATAATAATACTAATCATCATTAATAAATAATAATATTTTATAATTAATTAAATTGATATCAAATTAATTTATGACTTAAATTTATCCAAAGATTCTATATCAATAAAAATAAAAGATTTGTAGATCCTTCAAGGTTAGAGAGAAACCATATAATGAATTTTATAAATTTAAGTATTAATATTTAAGAAAAAATAATTAATTAAATTGTTATATGATGTTAATTATATGATTAAATAATGGTGATAAAAATTACATCATTATTTTAACTGTAATAACTGTTCCTTTTCAAAAAAAAATGCAATAACTGTTTAGACCAATGTCATTATAAAACTAAAACTACTAAATATATCATGTCAAATTAAATTATAGGAATTATATATCAAAGTTTAATATAAAGTAAATTTATTACTAAATATACTAAAAAATTAATAATAATAATAAAATTATCTCGATATATATAAATAGTCACTTTAATCTATGTTCTCCTTTTTAAGGTATTTTAATTTTTGAAATTTTAATTTTTGATCAAATTAATCTTTATTGAATAGAAACATTTGTTGACTAATTGTCCATGCATATTACTAACATGACATTTTAACATATGTTTAATTGATGATTTTACACATGTCACATGATATATCATATGTTATGTCATTACTTTGGGTGATATAAAACATGTCACACTATCACTTCTGTGACATGAAACATGTCACGCCATCACTTTGATGACATGAAACATGTCATATCATTAATTCTTGTAAGTAACGTGATAATTTTAGTGATACATATCAAATCATCGTTTTGATGATATAAAACATGTGACGTAATTATTTTGATAATGTGACATGTGATATGTAAATAATTAAACATATATAAAAAAAATATCATGTTAGAAATATGTATTGATTGTTAATTAACTAATAATTTTCATCTCTGTATTTTTGTTTCCTTGGACATTTGTCGACATGAAAATAATTTTGCTATGTACATATGCTACTTTAGTAGTGTACACGAAAGAAGTTTTCTTCAGATTTTTTTCTTTTCTTCTTCTTCTTCAGTCATTCATATAATTTTCTTTTTTTATTTTCACTTTATTTCTTTATTATTTTTTTAAAAATAAAATAATTACGTAGTGACATATTCAAAAATATGTTTTCAAGGTGTGCACATATATATTAACAATACAAAATTTTAAATGAATGAACACAAATAAATTTTCAAGGTAAACAATATCAGTAAAATAAGTAATTAATCGAAGAAAATTATGATATTAGAGTAGACAAATGCCCACTCTCAACAACATGTGACTCTGCCACTATAATTAAGCTACAAATTTTCAACGTAATCTCAAGTAATTTTTAAGTAAGAAGATACATTCTTAATGAAGAACAATGACATTAAACTCTTAAACGCTCCTCAAAGATTGTTTTTCCATGGTAACTTAATTGTTAACCATTAGACTTTTGGTATACCTTGTGGAAGAAGGAAACAAGCGATGAGAAGAAATCCAAAACTAGCATGAGCAAATCAATTTGATAGCAATAGTGTCCAACATTCAACAACCAACTTAAAGCTAAATCATCACCAGCTTCCAACAGTAACACGAGAAGCAACAAATGTTACCAAAGTATACTGAAAACAACAAATTCATATCCAAAGAGAAGCAAAGGATCAAATCTTACAACATTATAATTAACACAATTTTTTTTATTCAAATCATTCACCAACAATAACTGTCAAAACCCTTGCATCAAGAATGGCAACAACAGCCAGAACATCATAACTGAAAGATCAAACCCTGAGCAACAATGAAGATAGGAAGACTAATATATTATTCAAACAATGCAAGGAGAATAGATGAAACGGTGGAGTTAGAAGTTGGAAGCATATCCTATAATACCAGAGTGGTGGAAGTGGGTTTTTTGGGAAACTCAAGCCGAATCTCGATACGCAACGAAGAAAGGAGGGAGCAGGAGCGGTCACAAAGTGAAAGCTTATCGGAAACAGCCTCAGAAGTTGACCGGAACCAGCAGTTGGAATTAACAGAGGCGAGAATGAGGCACGCGGAGGACAAAGCATTAAATGATACGCATATTGGGAAGGAGGAAATTGATGGGGGTGGCGTGTTTGAGCTGGAGCAAATATTCTCCCATTGTCTAGAAACCATTTTGAGGTGCCAACTAAAAACAGCTTCATATCTTTTTTTATCTACACATTCAGAATATATGTTGTTGCTCAAATTAAATATTTAAAATTATCATATTTTGTCAACGATTTATAAAGTAAATTATTAAAAGTTTTTAGTTGACACCACATCTTCCTTTTTAAATTGTAGTTTCAATATTCATTAGGAGCAAATATTCTCTTTTTCCATCGCCCTAAATTGAAATTGTTTAAAAACTTATAATCTATTTTTTTAGATATTAAAACATTTTTAGTTAAAATATATACTTAAATTATATTATTTTTTATTTAAGTACTTAAAATATTTTTTGGTCAGAATAATATTTAAAATATACTATTTTTTTATATCGATTCTTAAAAGTTGACACACGATACTAATTAAAAAAATATTTAAGGTACTTAGAATAAAAGTATAATATATTTCAGGTACTTAGAAAAAATAGCATATTTTCTGTATTTATTTCAATCAAAATATACTTTAACTACCTAGATAAAAGTGATATAATTTAAATATTTATTTAGTAAAAAGTATTTAAATATTTAGAGAAAAATATGATATACTTTAAATATTTATTTTTAAATTAAACCTAGTAATAATTTGGATCTTGTTCTCTCTTCAAGGACTTCGTAAATATAAAAGTATAAAAATTAGAGGCTTATTGAAGCCCTAAATATACTAAATGGGGATAAAGTTCTCAGCTGAGGGAGTTCCGAAATGCTGGCTGCTACGTTGTTTATATTAATATTAGTACAAATACTTAGAAAATATTTCTTTTAGTAGAAAGAGAGAGATTTCAAACCAGGCTGGGGATATGGAGTATGCACCTGCAAGTTGCTGTATGGCGTCTGATTGAAGATATTCAGGAATTATTAAAAAAAAAAAGTTGATGCCAACTTCTTTGCTGCCATTTTCTCTTCGTTTTAAACAATATTGAGGTGATGGATTCCATGCAAAGCCTTATCAAATCAATAGCCTTTCTCCTCTAAACCTCAGTTTCGCTATCAGTTCGACCTTAAACTTTACATATTACTACAATTTCTTGTATAAATGTTTGCTTTGCTTTGCTAGCTCTCAAGTTGATAGCTACTCATGAGATGCGAGATAACTGAAAAGATACTATGTATCATTACGTGAACCGTTTGATCGACTCCGATTCGAACTTGAACTAGAATCATGTAATTAAGGATTCAAGGTCGAACAGACAACGAGATAAAGGCAAACCAGGAAAAGGGCTGCTCATTTGACAAGCATAGCATGGAAAACCACTCACCTGTTGTTCTGCTGGAACAAACGGAAATAATCGAAACTGGGATGGGATCAAGCACTTTGAAATCCCTTATGGTATGCAAAAGATGTGTATGAGCGAAGCTAATTTATAGATGATAAAGAAAATGAAAGTGGAATTGAACCGTTATAAAAGTGTGTGAGTCATGTCCTTGATATAGTAAGTTTGGCAAGTGAGGAGCTATGGCTTTGACTCGCAGGTGCATGTGCATTTTTTCTATTTCACAAACCTACCACCCGGCCCCCATGAATTTAAGAAAAGAGCAGCAAAGGGGTTGATTGCCTTAATCTGGTTCGGTAGATGGAAAAGAATGGTGACTAAGAACCAAAGTGAAGAGGTTAGCTGAGCTTGTGTGATTATTCTCTCATTCTCATCTATCCTTAACTATTTTCTAGCTATCTGCAAATTTAGCTTCATTTCCGGTCAAAGCCATTCAACAAATCCATTTCCAGGCCACCTGGATTTTTGATGACCAACGTTGATCACACATTTCAACCCCCCTTGTGTTTTTTAAATAGCACGAGATGATTAAAAGTAGTATATATTCATAAATTTTTAGTCATTAATAAAGCACATCCTATAAATACAATTGCTTAAACCCTGAACCTCGAAAGAAAATAGCATTTTCTTTATTAACTAAGGCAAATTTTATTGATCAGATATTGAAATTATTAAGAGAATATTCCAACTAAATTATTGAGTCGATTCATAATTTTAAGCAACTAATAATACCTTTACTTAAGTTTATGGTTGCATGTGGCGACTTGAAACCTTCTACTCTGTTGAGTTAATCGATCGATGGAATCGGCTAAGAGGGGATGAATTGACAATTAAAATTTTGGTGGAAGCTTTTGCAGAAAATTAAAAGAAATTGCACAACGATTTAGAGTGGTTCGACTTTCTCAACCAAAGTCTACATCCACTATTTTAGCTATCCACACTAAGGATTTTCCAATAAATTCACTAATTTGTTCTTTCTTTTGAGGCCAAAGAGATAACCTTACAACTCCCTCAAGAATATACCCCAATTCTTGAGAACACTCTTTCCCAAAGAGAATATTATAAATTTGCAAACTTAAAAGGAAATCCTCACAAGGTAGATTGTTTGCACAATTCTAGAACAAAGAAAAGAACACTAAAAAATGAATACAATTGAGTACAAGTAGTGTTCTTGAAAGTAAAATGAATATTGAATGAAAAATAGGCTTGAAATGCTCAAACTTGAGGTTTGATGCATTCTCTTTGATTCTCTCTTGAATCTAGTTGCTTGTTGTTTCTTGTTTTGATCAATGGCTTCTAAGCTTGTTTAAATACACCTTCAATGATTCTGAACGTTGGGGATGATTAGTGGAGTCAATAGAGCCGTTTTAGTGTGAAATCAATTAATAAAACAACTTGGAGCGTGGGGGGAATCGGTACCCCCTCATGGGGAATCGGTTCCCTAAGTGTAAAATTCAAATATTTCAACCGTTAAACATGGGGTAATCGGTTCCCTCCGAGCATTCTATTTTTCTCGAAGTCAAACCATTCAGGGGAGAATCAGTTCCCTTTGAGCAATCTAGAATTTTTGGCTTTGAAATGGTTCAAATATTTTGTAAAATTGTTTTGAAATTATTTTAAAATTAAAACTTAATTTTACACTTGAGTAAGGATTAAAAATGACATTTGAAAGATTTGGAGTAATATTTTGATATTCGAACAATTATATCGAATATACTTAGAAAATCTTAAAATACATTTAACTTAATTTGTTATATCGAAATATCAAAATGTTTTCAACAATCTCCCCCTTTTTGATATAACAAAACATTTTAGTAATTTTAAGATTTTGAAATCAAGTTTTGAAATTACTCCCCCTTACTCTAACACTTCTCCCCTTTAAAACACTTTAACATTTCTCCCTCTTTTTGTTAAATCAAAAATACTTTTAAAAGATTTTAAATATAGCTTAAGTTGTTAAGATCACAATCAAGAGAAACTTTAGCCATTAGTTTCATAATCAATATTCATAAACAATGTGATATGGCAAAATTGGTCATATATCTAATATGATGTAAATGATGCAATAATGAATAAAATTTAACCAAACCAAATATATAGAAATATAAGTTCAAACATCCATAAAACATCAACCAAATTCAAACATCCAAAAATTAAAAGCAATCCAAAGTCACTCAAAATGTTGAAACAATAAACTCCATGTTTTATTTCAAAGTACTAAAGTTAAACAGATTACTAAGAATACAACCATAAACTAAAGAAGAACATAATTTTTTATTGGGAACAAGATTTACGGTTTCGACAAGTTCAAAAAAGATAATCTGTGGAAGGTTGATTTTGAGATTATTTTGGACACAATGTAGCCAAAATAAATCTAAGGCTCGAAGAGTAGAGTAACGACCTCCGGATGGTCAAAACCACCAAGAGATCATAAGGTGAAGAAAACGGTCGTGAAGATCTAAAACACTTGCACTATCCCTTCATTTATACTGAGATCCTACCGTTAGTTTTTCATTGTCTAACCCGTTATTATCTAATCCTAATGCTTTGGCTATGTATTCCGAGTCAAGATGAAGGAATCGTCCTAGAAGATAGGATCGGATTCCTATGGTTAAGGTTTTATCTCGGTTTTGAATGCAAACAACATTAGAGTAGAAGATACGAACGAGTTGATGGTAGACTATTGGTTCAACCTCGAAGAGTTTATCAAATTTCCACTCTTGAAAAGTAGGAAGATGTCGAAAATTGATGTCTAACATGGCTTGAAGAGATGGGATTCGTTCTTCCCGGATTTTGTAGGACTCAAAGTATTGACAAAACCTAAAGTAGAGATTTTGTCTACGACCGGGTTCATTGAAGCAAGAATTGCGAATGGTCATGTTTGGATCATCGAGATTAGGATTAGGAATTTGTTGGATAGGTGGAGGATTTGGAGGTGAGTTTGGAGGTTGGCTAGAACGACTAGAGGAAGGTCTATAACGTTTATGAGACATGATTTAAGGTAATCGGAATGGAAGAAATAACATGCAATTTTAAGAACACGTGTATGCAATATAATCAATCCTAAAACTCAATTAAGTCCTCAATATTTCAAGGTTCTCTAAACCAAATATAATGAGCAAAGTTTTTGAAAACTATTGAAAATAAGGGATTGAAAATCAATATACACAATTTTCATAATAACAACATAATTAAATCAAAATACAATTTTTTTTTAATTTCAAAAATTTTCAAAAATTCTTTTGTTTTTGATAAAATTGGTTGTAGAATCTAGTTTCTAATCACTAAACAATCAATGCCCGATCTAAAGTCCAACCTAGAACTAATTAAAACTAGTTCTATATTCAAAAATTGATGAAATAGAAGTTTTAGAAAAATACCTTGAAGGGGAATCGATTCCCCCTTTGAAGGGGAATCGATTCCTCCCTGTAGGGGAATCGATTCCTCCCTGTAGGGGAACCGATTCCCCTTGAAGGGGAATCGATTCCCCCTTTGAAGGGGAATCGATTCCTCCCTGTAGGGGAACCGATTCCCCCTGTAGGGGAATCGATACCCCTGGAGGTTTTGTTTTTAACACTGGCGGAACCCCTATTTGCTCAAACCCTCTCTTTTTCTCTCTTAGCCGTTTTTCCTCTCTACTCTCACCCTATCTCCATACTTCATCAAAAACAACGTTTTAATCGGAATTCTCTTCAAATATCATCTCCTAAAGTAATTTCAAAACTTGATTTCAAAATCTTAAAATTACTAAAATGTTTTGTTATATCAAAAAGGGGGGGATTGTTGAAAACATTTTGATATTTCGATATAACAAATTAAGTTAAATGAATTTTAAGATTTTCCAAAAGATTTTCTAAGTATATTCGATATAATTATTTGAATATCAAAATATTACTTCAAATCTTTCAAATGTCATTTTAATCCTTACTCAAATGTAAAATTAAGTTTTAATCTTAAATAATTTCAAAACAATTTTACAAAATATTTCAAACCATTTCAAAGCCAAAAATTTCAGACTGCTCAGATTCCCCCCACAAGGGGGTACCGATTCCCCCCTAAATGGTTTGGCTCTGAGAAAAACAGAATGCTCAGAGGGAACCGATTCCCCCCAAGGGGATACCGATTCCCCCTGTTTAACGGTCGAAATATTTGAATTTTACACTTAGGGAACCGATTCCCCTTGAGGGGGTACCGATTCCCCCCACGCTCCAAGCTGTTTTATTAATTGATTTCACACTAAAACGGCTCTATTGACTCCACTAATCATCCCCAACGTTCAGAATCATTTGATGGTGTATTTAAACAAGCTTAGAAGCCATTGATAAAAAAACAAGAAACAACAAGCAACTAGAATCAAGAGATAATCAAAGAGAATGCATCAAACCTCAAGTTTGAGCATTTCAAGCCTATTTTTCATTCAATATTCATTTTGCTTTCAAGAACACTACTTGTACTCAATTGTATTCATTTTTTAGTGTTCTTTTCTTTGTTTTAGAATTGTGCAAACAATCTACCTTGTGAGGATTTCCTTGTAAGTTTGCAAATTTGTAATCTTCTCTTTGAGAAAGAGTGTTCTCAAGAATTGGGGTATATTCTTGAGGGAGTTGTAAGGTTATCTCTTTGGCCTCAAAAGAAAGAACAAATTAGTGAATTTGTTGGAAAATCCTTAGTGTGGATACCTAAGGTAGTGGACGTAGACTTTAGTTGAGAAAGTTGAACCATTTTAAATCGCTGTGCAATTTCTTTCAATTTTCTGCAAAAGCTTCCACCAAAATTTTAATTGTCAATTCACCCCCTCTTGCCGATTCCATCGATCGATTAACTCAACATACTCTAATTAATTTTATAATTACGTGAATTTCAAAAGGTGTAAAATTAAATTATTAGTAAAAATATAAAAATTATTTAAATTATATAAAAATTTAAAATTTTAAAAAATAATAATGTATCCTATTATACCTAAGTTTATCTCTAAATATGATATAAAAATATATAAATTTAAAATTTAATATATAAATATATCCATATATTAAAAATTTATAATTATAATAACCTAATTTGTGATGCCATTAATGCAACCCAACAAGAAAACCGGCTTACCCTATATTCGTACTTGCCCAACCCTAGTTTTCCAGAAGAAATAGTACATTTGATTAAAAAAAAACTAAGCTTAATACAAAAGTAGATATTCAAATTATACCTAAAGTTAATTTTAGATGGATAAAGATTTTTCGTTAAAAATATATGCTTAAAATTTCTGACGTTACATTTTTAAGTGTCTGCTGTTAAATTCGATTGTTAAGTGAAACATATTAGACTTATAAAAATTTAAATTTTTTTGAAATTTTATATGTTTGACACGTATCACTTAATGATCGAATTTAACGGTGTTAACGGTCTATACACTTAAAAGTGTAACGTTAGAAACGTTAGACATCTATTTTTTAACGAATAGTATGAACACTTATTTATATATTACGTCAAAAAAGTAATTGTTTTCAAAAAAAAATAGAGTACATTTGTCACATCCTTATTTTCTAGGAACCTAATTTCGTACTTGCCTAATCCTATATATTTCTTTTTAGCTTTTAACGGGATATATAACTATTCCATTTGATTGAAAGCTTCCTAGTTAGTTGATAAGCTGTTTGGTTAATCACAAGGAATTTTGAGGCTTTAAATTAAAGTTATAGTTTAAATTTATTCTACTGTATTTTTTGTATTTATTTTTATTTAGTTTAAATTTATGTAGTTGGTTTAAATGGATAACGTTTGTATACTTTAGGGACATTATTGGGGGAAAAATCAAATACCAAGTTGGTAAAACAGGTAAATGTTAGGGGGCAAATGGTACATTAAGACTTTTATTTATTAGTTTGAGTTAAGTTATTAAGCTTGTTTTACAAATATAATGTATTATTTTGATTGTGATTTTTGATATAATTGAAAGTGTGTGATTGGAAGTATGAATTTGTATTGAATAAAATTTATTGTAAAATGAATTTTTAATCAAATAATTAAACTTATAAATAGAATAAATTAATTTATTTCAGGCAAGTTTTGTGTGTTATTTTCTTTTTAGTTTTTACAATCTTATTTTTCACTCCTCATTATTCATTACAAGTCGACTAATCTGGATGGAACATTAGAGACTCATCACGAGGATTATCTTCTTAATTTAATTTATTTCATTTATAACGTCATGATTCAAATCTTAAATATTCTTTAAAAGTTTTAATAATTTGCTGTTAATTAGTCCTTAAACTTTTGATCATTCTAATTCCATCCCTAAACTATGAGTCTCTTTTTAAATTGGTCCCCAAACTTTTAAATATTCCAATTTCATCTCCAAATTCATCCAAATATTTAATTAGTTTCAATCATAATCTAACCTAAATTTTGTTTTTTTCTCAAATATATAATAATATAACTTGCCCTAACGATTTTATTAACAATGGATGTAATTAGTGTATACGTATGGTTTGGGATGAAATTGGAATGTTCAAAAAGTTTGGGGACTAATATAGAATGAAGGTCATGGTTTGGGATGCAATGAAATGTTCAAAAGTTTGAGGACTAATGTAGAATAATAGTCATAGTTTAGGGATGAAATTAAAATATTTAAAAGTTTAGAGACCACCTTAAAATAAAGATTATACTTTGAAGGCATGTGATGCAATTAACTTTCAATAGTGTTCATGACAGTATGCATTCAAATTTACTTGAAAAAGCTAACTAAACTATTTTTCATTTTGCTAAAAGCAAAATTGTTAAACTTTGAAAATTAAACCAATCTAGCTATTATACTATCCACTCTAACTTCAATTTCAAGCTTGGTGGCATTTATTTTCAATATATGTTGTTATTCTATAATTTTCACTTCAATTTTGTAATATAAGTTTTCTGCAAAAGTATTATAGCAGTCCTTGTATTATATTTCAGGTTTCATTTTTGACTCTTTATTGAAAAAATGAGCAAATTAATTCATCTACACTTCAAAAAGATCACCCCTTTAAATTTTTATTCATTTTGCTATTACATAAGGGTAGTAATTTTAAAAAAAGGTAAATATTTTTTATTAAATGTCATAATTGATTTGATTTGGAATAATTTTTTAAGAAAAAGGTTTTGTTAAAAAAAATTATATTCGAGTTCAAGTCAGAGTTCATATCTGAATAATGGAAGGAGGAGAAGAATGTTCAAATAATTCTCTCTTAAATCAACTAAGGTCATTTAATGAATTTATCTTTTTTTCTATTAATCTGAGGTAAATACAAAATAGTATTTGTCAACCTCTTGACATTGAACGCTCACACCCCAGTTATCTATGGTGCTCGAACCGGATCCTCAAAGAATAACAACAATTCTTTTACCACAAAAGCCACTTGGTTTGTGCATCCTTCTGTTATTAGTGCGATTAGAAAATGTGTTTCAACCACCTTTTGTTATTTTAGTCTTATTTATTCAAACTTAAGGTCCAATTTAAAGTCTTTGGCGTTAACGACGGTCGAGTGTAATTAGAAACACGTTTCAACCAATTTAATAAAGAAACATTATCAACAACAACAACAACAACAAAACCCTATTCACATATGTAATGGGGTAAGGGGAGGTAGTGTACTAGCTGCCCCTAACGCCAGGTTGAGAGCAGTTTCCGTGGAAACCTCCGACAATCAAGGAAATTAAAAATAAAGATAAAGATAATAAGATAAGATAAAGATAAAATACAATGCATGTATAAATAAATACATAGTTGAACAGTCTTCATATGCACGTCTGTAATGAGAAGTAATCTTTGTGTAATAATCTCTGCATATAAACAGAAATGTAAGTCCCGGCTAAATTTAAAATGAGGAAACATGAAGGGAAGGAATACACAGTAGTCAACGATAGCAAGCTACTAGAAGGAATAAAGTCAAATGGGTTACCACCTAAACTAAGGCAACACTACTCTGCTACTCTAGTTTTTAGCC